CAGCTTCAGGAGCTCTACCATGCTTTGATGTTGTTCCTTCCCCTCCCCTGCCATGTGCGATGCTTTCTTATAGTCACCTGCTAATCATTTATTGATGTTGTTCTCTTCTCCTTTTCACTCTAACCACGGTAGTAAATCTTTTTGCAGCAATGAACAAAAGAGCAAAACCTACTATGTCCTGCACTCATATGTATAGAAACAAAATAAGAACATCCTTCGGCTTGCGAATAAGAAACTAGTTGCACCAATCAGGCAGATTTCGAACTAAAAAAAGGAAAAATAGGTATTTTCTTAATTTTTAAATGTTGTCTCTCTTTTATTTGTACTACTTCTTTTACTTTCTTAGTTATTGAATTGATTGTCCTTTAGAAGCTTAACTTATAAATTTGTGTATTTACCAATTCAGGAGCTAAGAGGAGAAGGATGAACTGATCAGAACATGCATGGTGCGGGATACAGGGATAATAGTACTTTTTTTTTGTTATAGAGACAATAGAAAAAATTATGTATTCGAACTTGTTATCTTTTTCCCCCCTACTTTCACTAGAGAATGTCTTTTAGAATGTTGGTTTTCATAGTGTTTGATTGGAATGAAATCGTAGTAGTTTTGTTTCAATTTTGACGAAAATGATTTTATGATATTTTGCTATATTGGTGAGGGGACATATGATCGTCCCCACAACTTTCAAATGTGACAATCTCTTATTCCCAAATATTAGTGACAATTAGTCATTCCGAAAGACAAAGATTAAAGACAACTAGTCGTCCCTACCAATTAAATAAGTGACAATTAGGCGTCCCCGGAAATGTAGGTTAAGAGACAATTTATCGTCCTCATAAGTGACGCGGGTAACAATTAGCTGTCCCCAAAGACATGTGCTAAGGGACAACAAGTCGTTCATACAAGTTACATAGGAGACAATTAGTTTTTCAGAAGGTGCATAAGTGACAACTCCTCGTCCCCAAATACACAAGTTAGAGGACAATTGGTCATCCCTAAAATTCATAGGGGACAACTATTCGTCTACAAAGATATAGTATAAGAGACAACTCGTAGTCCTTGAATAAACCTTTTGGAGACGATTTTTGGACTCCAATTCGATACCTATAGGAACAACATGTCGACCCTATAACAAGAAAAGGGGACGACATATTATCCTCTAATAGGCTCAACACAATCAGGAAATCGATTATGTGGGACAGATGTTTGTCCTTGGAAATGATGTTTAGGGGACGACTTATTGTCGCTAAAGTTATAGTTATAGGGACGACATGTTGTCTTTCATTGAAAAGAAACGAGACGACGACTTGTGAGTATTGGGGACGACTGTCGTCCCTAGTATTGGGGACGACCTATATTTTTGTCGTCCCCATAAGAATAGAGGACAAGAGTATAGGGAACCAAAGATTGGGGATGACTAAGTCGTCCCCAAAAACTATAGGGACGATTTTTTCTATTTCCGGGGACGATTTTTGTCGTCCCCTAACCTCCTCTTTTTTGTAGTGTTTTACGAGCTGAACTCGGCCAACCCTTCCATAGTCAGAAAGTTCGACTGGGAGAAGGTAGCAGTCATCATTGTCGCCGCCGCCGCTGGCCGTCGTCAACATCAGGAGCACCACCACCAGTACGACGGGCTGAAAGTGCTCAGCAAAGAGATCAAAGATCAGGAACTGAAGAACCTGGCGGCGGATCTCACCCAGTCCCATTTGATGGTCAATCCCCACGGCAACTGCTACCTTGACGTCACGTCGACGTCATCATTCGTGGATCCGACGTTCGGGGTCGAGTACTACCGGGTCAACGACATCTTCGGTTGGTGCCGCCGATACGGAGTCACCCCGCCGCCGGCCACCACCATATGGAGCCAGCACCGCGACATGATGTTCGGCGTCCCCGTGGTCGACTACGAGAGCCAGCTGAAGGCAAAGGACGACGAGATCCGCGGTCTCGACGCCGAGATCGGCGCGAAAAGGGCGGAGGTGGAAGCCGCCGCCGCCGCCGCCGATCTGGAACGTTGCCGCAAGTGGAACACCGACTTGAAGTCCGGGCACCCCTCGGTTTCTAATGGGCCGGGGGCGATCGTTAAACTCCAAGAGCGGCGTCTGAGCGTGCTCCCGGCTACGTTCCTTGTATCGGCGGCGGCGAGGATGCCGACGCCGGTGGTGGGTTTAGGGTTCAGAGTTCCGGAATTCGACAAGGGCGATGTGCCCTTCGACGGGTTTAACCTGATGGACCAGGACTGCAAGGGACTGCCCGCGCCGCCGACGGTGCGGGTGCGGACTCGCGACGGGTGGTTCGACACGCACAACTGGTGGTACGTGATGGGCCGGAGTCAAAAGTACATGGGAGCCTACGCTGGTAGGATGCTGGTCTTTTACGACGGCGATTTTAGTTATGCGGAAGTGCAGAATCCAAGAACTAATAAGCGGGAGAAAGTGCCGGTGCCGTACAAGATGGAGGGGGAATTCGCGGCGGACAGGAACTTCGACCTGGTCTACTCGCCCCTCGATGAGATTCGAGTTGGGTTTACCTATCGCTGGTAAGAATCTCGCCGGACTTTGATGGCGAAGGGATGTCCGACTTAATAATAATCCATGTTAATTTTGTCTTATTGTTTTCAGCGACTTAAGCCCTTCATTGTTTTAGATATATACCCCATTATTAGTTAAAAAATAAGAAGGACTTTTTAATTAGTGACAGAGGTCATTTGAGTATCAAGTAAAACTACAAACTATACAAATCGGACTTGCAAACAGTACAAACAATACAAAGTAGAACGATAAAACATGCAAACAGATGTAATAACAATACAAAACAAATGAACTATACAAACAATACAAACCATAAGAAAATAAGAAAATAAGAAAATAATCGCATGTTGACTTTGGAGACTCCATCCCTATATAGGATCGAGACTTTCAATTCTTCTCAATACAAGTCACCACCACCGTGCAAGAAGATAGCCTACAAGAGCTGGCAACTTACTGCCTTCTCGATTAACCCACTACTCTTAGATTAGGTTTTAGAAGCAGGTAGCAATAAGCTCTCTTCTAAACCTCAAAATCCACGAGGCTTGGTTGAAGGAACTATCTATGAGAACACGAGGCCTTGAGCTGTGAACATTATTCTAGCATCGTCCTACTGCCTATTGGCACATCTAATTTCGAACTAAGGACTTCAACGATCCGTACGATCGATAATGTTGGATGCTTTGAGGGCCACGACAATAAGAATCTGGTCGAGCATATCTAAGTGTTTCTGGAGATATGTGATTCTACACAACATCCAGGAGTAGAGCCTGATATGCAATCACTCTTTGTCTCTTTTCTTTCTCCATCTATGGGAAAGCTGAGAGATGGCTAAATACCAAACCAACAGGAACTTTCCAAACGTGGGAGACACTGGTCCAGGCCTTTATATAAGAGTTCTTCCCTCTGTGGATAACTGACAATCTAAGAGATCGAATTGCTCACTTCCGGCAACACGCTTGAGTCGTTGTACAAAGAATGAGAGCGATTTCAAGTGCTCATTCGCTCTTGCCCTCATCATGGGTTTGGACAAAAAACAATTAGCGGACATCTTTGGAAAAGTTCTCGACCTAAACACCATGATGAAGGTGAATCACGCTATCGATGGTGACTATCATAAGGACAATTGATGCAACATGGCATGCATCCACTCCCTAATTATAAGCATTAAGAACTCAAATTGAATACAATCATACCACATATTACTATGCAAGTTAAAAAGGTTTCCCTATCTTCTAAGTTGAGAGGACTCGCTCAAGCTAGCATGGAATTCAATGGTCGCTGCACTTACATACACTTCAAGGTAACTTCTTGGAAACGTTCATGCAACAAAAATCACCTAGAGCACTAAACCTATAATACTCCAATTGGGGGTGGGGGAAATTGTAACACCCCGACATTTAGATTTAGGTTCACCCGTAATAAATACATGGTTGGATTGGATCATAGATTGGATATGAAAAATCAACTAAATCAAAATGCAAAACTGTGTCGTTTTATCAGACGGGGAAGAAATAAATTTCCCGAGAATCATTAATTAATCAAATAGATGGAATGCATAACCGACGAGTGCTTTGAAGGAATAATTGAGAGGGCCATTATGGTTAATTACACCTATGGTGTCGGTTGTGGGTAACATTAAGGGAGTGAAGGCAAAAGAGATGCACTGTAGACGGCTGGTTAAGCAATTGAGCGCCACGACAAAAGAGGACACGAGGGAATTCCGACGCAGCCGTACTTGTAGGAGGAATGGATGCGCTCTGTGGAACGGAGTCAACGACATGGGCTGGTCGGAGGATTCGCGCATGATCAGAAGGAGAAGGCTCCCAAAGAGCAACAACGGCAGCATGGAGCGGTGACCGGAGAAATACGCCAAACGATGGGGGGAAAGAAATGAATTTTTTTTAGCAACCTTCCACAAAACAATGGTGATGCTTAATACGTCAAACGATGGGGAAAGAAATGAATATTTTTTTTTAATGCGCCACCAGCAAAAAGGAAAGCCTCCAAACAAACCAGAAACAGTTGAAATACCAAATGAAAGCTGCATCCCAACGGCTACACCCTTTTCTTCTCCTTCATTCGAGTCTCTTGAGCTTCAGGAGAAGCAGTACAACAATTCAACACATTTACGTCCCACCATCCACATCTCCCCCGAAGCCATTTTACCCACCTTTTCCTTTTCTTCTCTTCCTTCTTCTGCTGGTTTACGTTCTCTGCAAGCACATTTCTCTGTCCAGTAGTTCAAGAGTACATTGTCTTGAAGCTACCACCTTTCACTTGCTCCATACGTACTCATCCCAGGATTCTCCTTACTCACCACCTACTTAAAAGAATTCTTTGAAACCTACCCTTTTCATATACGCTTGCTTCCGCTCAGCTTAATCTCAATCAAACTGAGCTTCAAAAAAAATCTTAATCAAACTGATCTTCAGTCAGGTGACTTCTCATTTCTCAAGAGAATCAAAACGCAAACTTTTGATGAGACCTGAAATCCTCTCTCTACCCATTTGCTCCTTTCACCTAACACTGCTTTCGGATTCAAATCCTTAAAGCCAAAGCTGGTTTTTGGATCTCTGTTCTTTTCTTCTCTCTTCTTATGCATTTCCAGGGAAGAGGGAAGGAGGAATTATGCCTTTCGGGTTGGTTTCTGCTTGGAACAAGAGAAGGAGAAGCAAGTCCCAGGATCACAGTGACCCCTGTATGTTTTCCCATTCCTGCAAAATCACCCTTACTGCAAACTTGAAGTTTCTTTTCGAGAAAGTTCTGTAGCTTGGTAGATGTTTTCATCTCTACGTGGTTTCCAGGGGTATACAGGCCTGTAGAGTACTGGAAGCTAGAGGATCAAACTGCCCAACCCACGAAGCGACGCCATGGATCATCGATCTTCACTCTTACCCCCTGTTTTCGAAGTAGGGGAGGAAAAGGAGGGGAAGGGAGGGAAAATTTGGAGGTGAAGGAAAATAGGAGGGGAAGGGAATTGGAGAGAAAATGTTGTTTTATGGAGGAACGTGAAAGGGATAGTGGGAGGGGAAAAGTATATAGGGAAGTGTGATAGATATGTTATTTTATTGATTATGTAATAATAAGTATATGCAAAAAATGAGAAAATGAATATTATGAATAACCAATTTCTACATAACCATTTAACTTATGAGTAATAACATATAACTTTATATCAAAACAAGGGCTCGTATGTATTGCACTTCGATTTAAATTTGTTTCATAATATCCAAATATTTTTTAATAATCATAATTATTAAAAATTATCTAATCCTATTCCTAAAGACCTATCGCCACTATATGCAAAAAGGTTATGTATTAAAAAGAAAGAAAGAATTAAAGAAAGAAAGAAGAGAAAAGTTATGATTCTTTGGGATAAAGAAGAGAGAGAAGAGAGATGGTGCGTGAACGTAAATAAAAAAAAGAAGCCAATGAGTTTTCCTTCATTTTCTCTTCAATTTGGAGGTATGGTCCAAACAGTACATTTTCCTTGCTATTTCCCTCTCTCACTACTGTTGTTGTCTTTCGCAAACGGCGGAAAACACATTGGAAATGCAACTTTCTCCCAAATCTTTTCCCTCCCTCGCTTTTCCATCCTACAAAAACAGAGGGTTAAGGAAATGGAGGATGCTACTTGCTCGTTTAGTGAGGGGAACTTTCTTGGGAAAGGAGGGTTTGGCAGAGTGTACAGAGGAACTCTACGATCTCGAGAGGTAAAAAGTCTGTTATACAATCAAGTTGGTCAAGGTACCCAAAAAAAGGGGTACAAGTGAACCCACATCTCAAGCAGAAGAAGGTGGGTTTTGACTTTTGCAGGTAGTAGCAATCAAGAAGATGGAGTTACCTTCGTTTAAAGAAGCTGAAGGGGAAAGAGAGTTTCGTGTCGAAGTTGATATCTTGAGCAGACTAGACCATCCGAATCTGGTTTCCTTGATAGGGTATTGTGCTGATAGGAAGCAGAGGTTTCTTGTGTACGAGTATCTGTCAAATGGCAATCTGCAAGATCACTTGAATGGTAACTTCCATATTCATCGTTATAAAGTTCTGCACCATTACTTCAAACCGTTCAGGTTGTTGTTTCTAAGTTATCTGCAATTTTCATTGCAGGAATAGGGGAAGCAAAGATGGACTGGACACAAAGACTAAAAGTGGCAATTGGTGCTGCAAGAGGACTTGCTTATCTCCATTCACCGTCTGCCGTTGGTATACCGATTGTTCACAGAGACTTCAAATCCACCAATGTTCTTCTCGGTGACAACTTTGAAGCCAAGGTGAATAATATTTACTCGTTCTCACATGTTCTGAAGGGGAAAAGACCTGAAATGAGAATGGTTCCACTGAACTTCTTATGGCAATTCCTTGCAGATTTCTGATTTCGGTTTGGCTAAGTTGATGCCAGAGGGCCAGGAGATATACGCCACTGCTATGGTTCTTGGCACATTTGGCTATTTTGATCCAGAGTATACGTCGGTAGGTGGTTCAAAACTCCCTTTGGAGTAATAAGCTAGAGTAACACAAAGCTGAGAACTAAAACTGGAATATCAAACTCACAGTAGCTGCAGTAGGACCACCACCCACAAACCGAAATGACCAGCTCTCAGATACTTGTTCTTGTTCTCCGCAATTCAACTAGCTAGAAAGAAAGAAACAAGGGTTTCACTTTGCTCCTTTTCTGCAGACCGGAAAGCTCACTCTACAAAGTGATGTCTATGCATTTGGAGTGGTTCTTCTTGAATTATTGACAGGACGTCGAGCTGTGGACCTAAACCAAGGACCAACTGACCAGAACCTTGTTCTGCAGGTGAGAAAATTCAAAATTTCATCTTTCTTCTGAAGAGCATAAGTTCTGGAGACTCACTATTTGATTAAATGGATGATCTTTTGTCATTTAGGTTAGGCACATACTGAACAATCGGAAGAAGCTGAGAAGAGTGATTGATCCAGATATGCCAAGGAGTTCCTACTCGCTGGAATCTGTAGCCATGTTTGCTAACTTGGCATCACGCTGCGTACGGACAGAAAGCAATGAGAGACCTTCCATGGCTGAATGTGTAAAAGAACTCCAAGTGATTATATATACGAATAACACAAAGAACTTAGGAATAGGAGGGAGCTCCTTCAAAATTCTCTCATAAGAGTTGTGCCTATTTATTAAAGACAAGAGGGCAACTGTGCATTATCAACAAGGAAGATGTTTTCTTCCTCTCCTCTTATAAATAGAAAAGGTAATTGTGAAATACAAGCATTCATTACATACAACAGACTGAGAGCAATGGAAGAAACGTGCATCCTGAGTCAATTATTAGTCAGGCTTACAGCTAAGGATATCAACAAAAAGAAATGGAAGCACTGTTAAGAATGTTTTCTTCTGCATATTGCTTCCCTAGCATCAACATTTCCCCTGCCACAGTAAATGTAATATATGCTTTGCCGGGACATAAACAAATCATTTCGTCCTATCTCCCATCATCTCCTCAACTATGGGGGAACAAGATTTGTTGCTTTGATATCATCTTGTTTAAGGTTTTCTGTCTAGCCGGCGTTGACAAGATAACAAGAACATGCCGGTACAACTAGGCTTCAATTACACACTGCAGTCTGGAGCAAGAAAGTGATGCTGCCCCTTGCAATTACCGCTGGATGAGCAGAACAAACTCAGAACTAAGATCCAGAGCATATCCTGGATATGCAAATGCAATAGGACATCAAGCAAAAGAAACCCCTTAAGGAAGGTACTAAACTAAAGATGTGCACGAAATGGAACAGATGCTATTGTGTCTATGCAAGTACCTCTGAAATATATGCTGCAACTTATGCTCCCACTTGCACATGTTCTGGGTCAGAGCCTGACATTTCAAGTTCTAAATCGTTTGTCGGTACTGGAAGCTTCTTTAACATCAAATGTTTACGACTTTGCAACAGCAGCAATACCAATATGCTATCTGTCTTAACAACATTATACCCTGCTCTTGTATACATGTTAAAGGGAGCAGAATCAACCATCCTGCAATGCAAATACACCTCCCTTACACAGCTCATCTGGGAAATTAACTCCTCACTTGCTTTCAAAAGATTCCAACCGATTCCCCTCCTGAAAGATCCAAATGCACACAACAAGAGATCAAGTCTGTTTCAATCCAATCCATCAACCTACCAAAACTGCGAGATGCAACAGAATCTATCAAATTCAAGAATACCTAGTACCACAAATGCTCCCAACTGAGAGCTCAACTCAGTATCCATCACCCACAAATGAAGCAATTAATATCTTTAGATTGAGGAAAGGGAAAACAGCAAAGATATAGTCAACCATATTCTTGCACAGCCAATCCCTATCCATTATAGATTCACGGTGAAGAGGGGCCATCATACGAATTCCAATGTCCAACTCAATAGCATTAAAGCCACCAAAGCCAGCAAATTGAATGACACCACTAATGCTCTCAACCGAGGATTTAACTCAGATTATAATTTTTTTTTTTTATTGATTGGAGGCGTTAGCCAGAGGTAAAATTACAGGAGGGGAAGAGAGGGTAGATTACAGGAGGGTAGGAGGGGAAGGGATGAACGTTGCATTACTTGACACAACGTTTCTGGGGAAACTAACCCCCTGGATGTCAGATTATATGAAGCCAGAATATAGAAGAGTAAATTCACGGTCAGCTTTCTTGCACCATGACCCTTCCTCCATCTAAAGAAGGTTATCAACATATAAACGCCAATCCCCAGCCTTTGTCTCCTAAGAGCTACCGCAATAGGTACATTTTAAACCAAAAAAGATCGGAACTTTTACATTACCAAACAAAGCCAGGAATCAATTTGTATAATTAAAGGCTTTCATATTACCAAGTACCAACTATATGCAAGAACAGCCGATGAGTTTTTGAAATCGTTACCTACGAAGTGGCTTGTTCACAGTCATATTGCAGATATAGGGAGAATCCTTCGGCGGTGTTGGCGTGGGAGGAGAATCATTTGCCCCTCTCTTATTGAAACAAATTTCCACGGTCCCAGCTAACTCCCCTTCATCTTCCTCCTCCTCCTCCTCCGCCTCCGCCGCTTCTTCCTCTCCACCCCCGCCTCCGCCGCCATCTTTCCATTTAACGAACCCTAGAAGTGTAACGGCATGGGGAATAGCGGCTCGCCTCTCAAACAAGTACTGTTTCACCAAGTAGCTCACCAAAGGCAAGTACCAATCTGGCAGCTTCATGGACTCCACAAAGGACTCGGAGAGCAACTTGACAGTGACATCGGTCTCGTCCGGCCTCATCACCCGAATGCAAAGAGACCCGATTCCCAGTTCCCGACGATACCGGAAGTCCTGAAGGCTCTGGAGCTTGAGAAGCTCTTCATTGCTGAGGAAATTGTAATTCCCTGTCTTCAACCAGTCCTCTAGGCTCGAATACGCAGCGGAGGCGCTGCTGCTAGTGGGTTCATCGGAAACGGAGGGAGGAGACTGCGAGGAGGCGGAGGTGCAGGATGATTTAGGGCTGAGACGAAATCGGGACCTCTGCGATGAGAGGAAATGGGGATTGTGAGTAAGAGGGGAAAGGAAGAGTCGTGATCTGTGGCGGGAAGAGGGAAGCGATGGATCTGAAGAGGTGGGCGTGAGAGCGAGTGAGAGTGTGGAAGCAGCCGCCATTGGAAACGGGCAGACGAAGGAATTGTGATCTGTGGACTGTGGCTAAATCTCTGAACATCACATGGATAATGGAACGGAGGTCGAACGTACCAAACGAGTGAAGGCAAACTGAAATGCGCACATAACTGAGTTTACAAAATCGTTTCAATATTTCATACACTAAAAATATTTTATTCCAGATTGAGATCACTAAAATTTATTCAATAATGTATGTTAAATATTTAACTCTACAACTCTATTAACTTTATTTGATGTGATAAATGCAACTTTCATAATTGTTTACAAATGTCTGACGTGACAATTAAAAAATAAATAAATATTTTTTATTTTTTAGATTTTGCACCTCATTTTCACAACTATTAAAAAATAGGGCAATGTCTTTCACCATTATAAAAAAAAAATAGGACAATGTATATTTTTTATCCAAACTTTTTTCAGATTCTTTTATATTATCCAAACCTATCAAAATACTAAGAATTAGCCAAATACTAAATTCTAGTTAGCAATTTTGTTAGTTATATTGACTTAGCAAACATGATACTGACTTGAAAGAGACTCATGAAAGTTAACATTCCAAAAGTTTAGTATTTTAACTAAGAAAAGAGTTATAAAATTATTAACGATAACATAAAAATGGCTAATATTTTGATGTATTATGAAAGATTTGGATAACTAATAGAATTTTAATAGGTTTGGATAATATAAAAGAATCTGAAAAAGATTAGGATAAAAAATAGACATTACCCTAAAAAATAAAATGAAACTTAAGTTCCTATAATTCCTTAACCACCCAAACCCTACCCATTTTCTTCCACCATCACCGCCATCCATGATTAGAAGATCGTCCTAAAGTGGCTGTCGAACCTTTATCTTAGCTTGAACCCTTACCTCGGCTTGAATCCTCATTGTCTTCTTTTCATTGTCCACTTGAAAAACTTTATCCATCGAACCCGAAATTCACCACCCAAGCATGTGACAGACCGATCCCATTAAGCGATAGCCCAGACCCTAATATGATATGATCCCAAATGAATCAATCTACAATCTATAATTGCTTGTACAATAGGCAATTTCACTAACTCACAAGCACCCTGAAAATTGTCTAAGTGTTTATTTTGTTTCAGGGTACCTACTTTGCAAGCTTGTTTCTCACAAATTGCTCGATGGAAATTCAAAGCGAATGCCTGGATTTGAGTTAAAGTGTTACTCTACAATATTGAAGGCTTTCCTGGTCAGAAACAAGTCTGCAAGATTGTTTTCCAAGTCATTCAAGTTACTCTGCCAAAACAAAAAACTGCCAGAATTCGGCTAAGTACGAGAATCAGTTCAGGAACCCAACTTTTGGAGGCTTATTCGAGATGGAAGAATGAGAGTCAAGTCAAGGGGGTTGTGCCACATGAAAGTAGGTGTTTTCTACTACAACCAAAAGTGATTGGATGAACGAAAGCATACCTGGAAGGCTTCGATCAAATGTGTGGAGATCGTATAGAGTCTCGCATTGGAAGTCTGCACCCCAAGCAATCTGAATCCTTCTCAAATTAGGATTACGTCTCCTCTTTAGTTTTGAGTGTTTTGTTTTCGTGTTCTAATGTAATTAGGTTTTCCTTTTGGCTTGTAAACGTAGCTAGGCCTATTTAAACTCGTTTATCATTGCATTGTAAGACAGTTTTTATTAAGATTGAATTCATGTTTGAGTTTTGTTCATTGAGCTTTCGCTTTGTGAATTTAGTTGAATTGCTTGGAGGTTTTCCGAGGGTTCAAGAGCTAGTATCGATCAATTGATCCACTTTTAATCACATTTACGTCGTTAATGATGGCAGCAACATCGGCAGGAAAGGGACCATTGATCTCCACCATCTGTTGAAGAGCATTCCAAATGTTGTTGCTATAGAAGCATGACCACAATAGATGATTGATGTTTTCCTCATCCGCATTGCAAAGAAAGTACCTACTAGTGAATCTCCATCCTCTTTTCTTTATATTTTCATGGGTAAGCACCCGCCCATGCCTAAGCAACCAGAGGAAGGCCTTGACCTTCATAGGGACAAGGGGCTGCGAAACCACTTTGTAAGGGAAGTCGTTGACACCTGGGAATCTCACATGATTAAGAACTCCATACATGGATTTCACAGAAAAACCGCCACTCGAACATGGGTTCCATATGATCTTTGCAGGACCTGTAGAGATTAAACCATAAGGTAAAAGTAACAGATTATGAATAAGATTAAGCCTCTCTCTCAGCCCCACCCCTTAAGGTAATTGATAAATGCAAGTCCCTCTCCACATCCCTATTGTCAAAGGATATAACATCAGATACCCATGCATCTTGGAGTAAGGTGGCAGCAACAACTCTAGGATAAGCATCTTTAAGAATTGCTCCCGACAGCCATTAGTCATCCACAAGGACACCCAGGCACAAACCCCAAGGGTGACATGCTCAAAATTCCGTAATGAAGCTTCCTCCTTAACGATCTTCCTCCACATCGAGCAGCCCAAAGGGCCGGAACCAGAACCGGTTCTCTAGATAGATGAGGGGTTTGGAAACTTCGGTACAATGAGCTGGAGCCACCACGAGTTTGGCTCCATGGCGTATTTCTAGAACCACTTAGCAAGAAAAGTCGAATTCATTCCCGCAATATCCAAAAACCCCAGTCCACCTATATCCTTAGTAGCTTTACACAGATTCCATCGAACCAAGTGGTACTTACTCTTGTCCTAAACACCATACCAATTAAAATTATGATGCTACTTCTCCATCTTACATATAGTTGCTTTGCGTGCTCTCAACATGAAAAACTAGTACAAGGGTTGACTTGACAGGAAGATTTTGCATAAGGTGATGTGGTCGCCAGAGATAAGAACTTGCTTCTCCAACCCTCGAGTCTCGACTGAAATTTCACCATGACACTATTCTAGATAGTCGAGGAGTTAGGACTAGCACCGAGAGGAAGGCCGAGATAGATGGTTGGGAGGCAACTTCAACCGCAGCCAAAAATGCCTACATATATATCTGGGTTCTGAACATCACCCACAAGGAACATCATGGTCTTCTCAACGTTGATTCTTAGCCAAGTAACATCTTGGAAACACACTAAGGTCGACAATAGGTTCGACACTTGGTCCTCGTGAACTTCACAAAAAATGATGGTATTGTTGGCATACAAAAGGTGAGTCACTTCCCCTCTTAAATTAGTTTCATCCATGAAGAAACCAGGAAACAATCATCTCCTTTAAGAGTCTCCAACATAATAGAAAGAACGTCCATAATAAGGAGGAAGAGGAAAGTGGACATAGGGTCACCTTGGCGCAGACCTTTCAGAATATTGAGAACCCGACAGCTTCTCCATTAACAAGAATCGAGAGAATAGGGGAGGTAACTAACCCTTTAATCCATAATTTGGCCCTATGAGGAAAGCATAAACTGTCCAAGATCTTGAAAATGAAATTCTAATTGACGTTTTCAAAAGATTTTTCAATGTCAAGCTTGAAAACCAATCTCGGATTGTCACTCTTCCTTTTACTATCGATCAATTCGTTGAAATCAAAGAGGCCTCGTGGATTTTTCATCCCTTGAAACCTCCAAATTGGTTACCAGAAACAGCCTTCATCGTAATGGGTCTAAGTCTTTCAGTAATAGTCTTCGACGACAACTTATTAACACTCTCAAGGAGGCTGATAGGTCGAAAGTCTCTGATCTCCTCAACTGCCTCTTTCTTGGGGATGAGGCAAACAAAGGAATGGGCGATGAACTTTGTAAGTTTCCCATTGGAATATAAATCATTAAACTCTTTCAAGACATCTTCTTTGGTCAACCCCCACTGTTTTTTGAAGAAAGAGAAGGAGAAGCCATCAAGCCCGGGTGCTTTGTCACCTCTACATCTCTTAAGCACCTTCTAAATTTCTTCTTCCATAAAAGGTCTTGTGAGAGCCTTGTCGTCTTCATCAGAAACCTTGTAATGATCATACCGATCCAGGAAAGGGTGCAGGGAACTGTCTCCTTTGAAAACGGAAGTGGAATGGACAACAAATGTTTATTTCAACTTCTCACGACCTTCAACCATCACACCATTCACTTTGATATTTGAAACCATGTTCTCCCTTTTATGATGGTTGGCTATCATGTGAAAATATCTTGTGTTTTTGTCCCCAAACTTAAGCCAAATCTCTCTGGACTTCTGACGCCAAGAGATCTCTTTCGTGATTAGAACTTGGTTCAGAGTGCATTTGAGGTTGCTTCTTGCGAGGATATCCTCCTCATGGATAGAACTCACATCTTCCTTTAAATCGATCTCTTTAATTTTTTCCAGAATTTCCGTAATCCTTTTTCCACTTTCCCAAACTCCTCTATGTTCCAAACTTTTATGAGACTCTTCAACTCTTTAAACTTCGTCCCGAGCTTGAAAAGGTCTCCACTTCCGGCGGACTGGACACTCCACCACTCTTGCTCATCAAATGAGCTGTCAAGAAGCCACATATTTTTGAATTTCCATTGCCTATAAATCTTGTTATCCTCTCCCCATAAAAGTTTTAGAGGTTTGTGGCCCAAAACGACACTGTCCAAGGCAATAAGTATGCAATTTTGAAATAAGGATTCGAATTGGCTGCATATCAAACATCGATCAATTATAGACATTGAAGGGGAAGCACAACCCCTGCTCGAGGTGAACGAGGCTCCCAACATGGGGAGGTCAATGAGGCTTGAATTATTAATGAATGAATTGAAGTTCTCCATTAAATCAGATCTCCTAGTAGCTCATCTATAATCATCATGAGCTCGGACAAGGTTAAAATCCCCATCATGCAGATGAGGTTAGATTCATTGGCGATATGTCCCTCCTGTCATGAGGCCCATAAAAAATCAGAATATTGAAAACTTGTCTCTCCTGAATAGCTTCAAGCATCACCATAAGCCAAAATTCACTCTCCTGCACATCCCATTTCCTGAAAACAAATCTATCACAATAAATCACAATACCTCCCTTGCTAGCAGTAGCGTTCTT